TTATTTCTGGAAAAGACATTAGAATTGTTCTTATGTGAAGACTGTGTTCACTTATGTGGAACATTTCTGTCATTAAATTTGCAGGGTAAAAGCAGTTATAATTTTTTCTTAGTAATGTGAGAAGAGTGGAAGGGGATAATGAGAAAGCTGAGCTGAGAGTTTTGGCTCTGTGAAATCTTCTGTTGTGTCCAGGTGAAATGTGGTGCTTAGGGACATGGTTCAGTGGTGGACTTGGTAGGCCAGGTTAACGGTTGGACTTGATGATCTTAAAGTTCTTTTCCAATCTAAATGATTCTACGAAACCACAAGAGAGAGAAGAAACCTAAAGCAGAGTCCTGAGAGATGTAAATGGATGATCATGAGGGTCTAAGGCACAATGCATCCTGCACATGTGGGTAGAGAAGTAAACATCATTGTCCTCTTTGCTGCATCATCACCTCTAATAATATTTCTGAGAAGTCTTTTTAAATACAAGTAAGCTAATTATATAGAGTAGCTTGTTTTCACTGAGACTGGAAAACACCCATTCTCAATTAATATTTTAAGAAAATAAGATTTACCTGCTCGATGTTTGGTTTTCTCTCCCTCTGAAAATTCAGCACATAGAATAAAAGAAATAATATTAATGGAGTACTTATTATATACAAATTGGAAGTTAAAAGTTACTTAGTGGACTTCCGCACTGCATTCCATAAAGCCTTAAACTTGTGTCACTTGTAGGAAACACATCATTCCGCAACAATTAGCTTGTTTTACAGCTCAGCACATACACAAAAATTCTACAATACTTAAAGCCTTTCTTTTCTGCGGGGGAAAAAAAAAAAAAAAAAAAGTAAATAGGTAAATAGACCACGCCTGGAGTTTTTCACATGAAAATGATCGAATCCAGCTGAGCCTTGCATTCCATTTTAAGCGTTTAACTGCATTAAATAGTGCCATCAAATCCAGTAATCAGACCAGACCAAATAAGCAAACCAACACAGAAAAAAAATGAAGTGGGCATAACTTTAACACGAAGACAATTACACACAATGAACAAATGAAGCATCTTACCTAACATTGACTCCAGTTTTTTTTTTTCTGGAAAAGTCAGTACAGACATATCAGTGTAAACTCTTTGATAGAGTGGCTTAACACACTCAACAACACCAAGACACAAACCCCATCACCATCAAGCAAGCGCATTCTTGGATTACACTCTCAACTGCTTTGACTTAAATACGTGTAAATCCAATCTACAATTTAACCCATGAACGTATCACTCTATTTCAAGTTTATTATATTTAGATAACTCATTATGTTATTATTTAAAACCTCATCCAGCAGGGTGGGAAAAAGACTTAGATATATTGCTGATAGAGGTCTTCTTTCAAAGCCTGTTTAGATCATGCCTGAACTAACCACATTTAAGAGGCACATTCAGATACACAGGCACACAGGGCATTTGTGGTGCCCTGGGGTACCCCAAGGGCCATGCAGGGGTCTCTCTAAAAGATCTCTGGTCTCCTATAGAAGCTCTGTTAGTTCTAATTGGATATGTAAGATACAATCAAAAATAAATGAGGTATTTTCTTCCTTCCAGGGTGGCAGCTAGGAGGTAAGTGGGATGACCAGGGACATCACAAATGCTCCAAGGCACCTGTATGTACATAAGTGGACTGAGCTGCAGGCATCCAAGCTCCCAGTGGAGATCCATGAATAAAGTTCACAGGATTTACAGGGCCAGCCAGCTGGCTAAAGTTAGGACTGAATAACCTTGAAAAAGGCAGAAGAGTGGTCACCAGCAAGAGGAGGAGTGCTAGAAGCTTACTAAGAGCTTTCCATCCAACAGCAGGGATTTGGTTTGAGTGTTCAGAAAGGTCACCGCTCTCCCATGTTATTACTTCTTTGTAAACACCTGGGATCTTCACTAGAGAATAGACATCATGTGGGGTATGATGTGTGGTTGTCACCATCTCTTTAATATTGAAAAGGGCTGCCACTCCTGTAATTACTTCATTGATAATCAACATTCGAATATTGTCTCCCTCAATGTACATCTTTGAGATCTCTGAACATCTTAGCATCATTTCAAATGCAAAGGACTTTTACCTTCTTCTATTTCCATCTTCGCTTTTACTGAAAAAGAAAGAAAATGAATCATAATGTTAATTATTCTTGTAAACTTCCCTTGTCATACAACAGCACACTTTATGTATAAACAGAAATAATTGGGGTTAAAACTTTAATTTAACCTAATAAACTTCCCAAGGTTTCTTGTTAGTCCAAAGAATTCATGTTTTGTATACCAAGACGTGTCTCATTTCTAATGGAGTTCACAAAAAATGAGGCAGCATTCTGAGACATCCAGTCCTTCCTAGGTGAGTCTTGGCCCAACCACAGCCTAGCTGAGGTTCAGAGACCAAGAATAAATCCCTTCTGGCCCCATGGACTTGTGTATCCTCAACGGCCAAACCTGGTCAGGGAACAGAACCACACGTGCTTCAGGGAATCAAAGTACTCATGCCATGCAGTTCTCCCTGCTATGGTTATGGCATGGGGCAATTAGTACTCTCCCAAACAATAAGCAGGTATCATCTGGGTGACATCATGAGCTGAGGGCCACTGCCAATAGATGGTTTGACTGTGGATACTCAGTCCTGGTGAGAAGGAAAGTTCAGCACAATTCGCATGATGTATGCCATGTTCCCTCACCCCATGGCAGTGGTGTTGTGCTGGATGATCTTTAAAAGTCCCTTCCAGCCCAAACCATTCTATGATTCTATGCCAACTGGTCCATTTTATTTTCAAGAACAGATATAGACGGTGAGTACCAAACAGATGTATCAAAATATTAGGTTGCTTTCAGAGTCTTGAGATGGGCTTGGGTTGGATCTTTTAATTGCTAATGGATGTTTGGTTAATTCATTTAGTTCTTCCTCTTCTAGAGAATCTGAGGAATGCTTCTGACCAATTAATTAACTCTTGAACAAATACAAAACTTGAATACGTTTGAGTCAGCATATAGTCATGACTAGAGCTTAATGAAAGAAGGAAACAAACTGCTTATAAAGCACAAATGAAAAAAGCTCATACAGGAACTTATTATACTGTGCAGTGCAAAATGAATTAAAAAAACTACAAAACATTTGGATGCAACTATAATCGCTAATTAGGTCCGTAATTTAATATAAATGAACTTTCCAACTTAGAAATTGTCATAGTCGTCGTATTTATCTTCCTCATTACTTACCTGAGCTAACTGTTTTCTTGTGACTACCTGGTTAAAACAAGAAAAAAAAACCTTTTTTTGCATGTTTTTGTAGAGTAATACTGACAGAAATCAGCTCTCTGATTTGTCATTTAGGCTCTAGTGTCACTGACAATGCTGAGTTGTCTCCCCAGTGATTATAGATAGGAAACTACAGACATCGTTTTGTCTCTTGTCAGACATAAGCTGTCTGAGGCAAGGACATGCAATTTGTGTTCCTCCTTGTTCAGACTGTGTATTCCCTCCCCACCCACACCCTTTTTTGGTTTTGTTCAATTTCCTGAATTTGGTCACTAAACAATGACTAGTGATTTTGCTTGTGAGTTTTTATTAGTCATGGATTTGAATATGAACTGTTGTGATATTTCTAGATGTCGACAGAGATAACATACACAGAAATACTTACTTCTCAGCTTAGAAAATATAGTGGAAATTAGGACCATGCTAAGACATAAAATTACCAGGAAGACAATCAGCCTGGGAAAGAAAATATCTGAAAAAATGACCAAAAGGAGTTATATTCTGTTAACGATTAAACATAAAGACAATTAAAACCTAGAATGCAGTCTAGAATGAGGAGATGGTGAATTTGCATTTCACTTCTATTTTGTTAGCAAAGTTGCTGAAGAAGAGATCTAACCCTCCCCAGCAGGACTAATCCAGGGAGACTCTTTCTCTGGATATCAGATTCAGAATTATGAAAGAGGTGTCTGAGACAGGCAGACAGGTTTCCACAGCTCATGAGTCACAAAAGGACAGCAATGCTGGCTTTTTTCATGGACGTGTTGCATTTCATACTAAACTGAGCAGGTGATGGAATGAAGGAAGAAACCATCACCACTGGGCAAAAGAGACATGTTCACTCTTGTTTAATTTGGTTCAGTGAGCATTCATCCTGCTTTGTATAATGCATACACCAAGAAGGAGAATAAGATTTGAAATGTTCCCCACGTTGGCTGTTTCCTATTTTCTCTTTCATGCTACCCCAACACCCAATGTTCTGGGATTTCTTGATGCCATCCTGAAAGGGCCTTTCCTCCCACACTTCTTCAAGAGCTTTACATTGCACTCTAGTTCCCATTCCAGACCCAGACATTGGCTTTGTGGTGCTGAAGTTCTTCTTGGGGTCCAGGCCTATGAGGCTTGCTTCAGACTACCTGATGCATGTCTATATACCCAGCAAACAGAAATGCGTAGAGTTCTACAGGGTACTGGGAGGCATGGCATTATCCACACCGCAATTACACAGTCATGCATGTATTAAAAAAAGAGGGAAGATAAAAACATGGACTAAAACCATTTGTGAGATGTTGAAATTATCACTTTGGCTCTTGTGACCATAACTATTATTTTCAGCTATGCTCTGTGAACCTGTTTCTGGATAATGGAAGCTTTTAGAGTGCTCGACTAAGGAAATATGTCATGTTTGTATGTGCACACAGCTGTATTTTTAATCCATTTTCATTCAGCTCCAGCAAACTGGCTGCCTCAAATTTGAAGAAGGGAACACACAAAGTCTTGATACTACCTGACCCCTTCTTAAAAGGAGAAATGGATTCACTAGGTGCTGTTGAAGGCTGTGCAGTCAACTAGAAATAAAGGTGGAAGAAGACTGCAGCTCTTATGAACTTCTGTCCAACACTGATTCTGGGAACACATCTGCAGGCCAGCTCATGACACAAAAACAAGACCCATGCCATTTAGACTGTCTTTTTAATCTTACAAGCAGGTGACTACAGAGCTCACTCACCTGAGATCAGGACTCGAGACTCGCTCGTTGTATTTAGCAGGTTGTTCACTATTCTGCAAGAGACTCCCATGTCAGAGCCTGGTTTTAGGTTCATGGAAGTTACAACCCTGTATAGGCCTTCAGGCATCATTGTCATCTTTGTGGTCGATAGTTCCTTCCGGACCCGTCCTTGGCCATCCAGCCAAATCACCTCAGGTTTGGGAAACCATCCAGCTGCATGGCAGGTGAGGCCAATGTCCTGCTTCACATGGCTCCTCAGGAAAATGGAAGGCACACCACCTTTAGCTAAGAAAAAACATACGGATTCTCCATTTCAAGCAGTACCAAGAACAGGAAACTGTCTGGTTTATCTTGAATTCAATGCTTCTTTTTATATATATATATATCTATATCTATTTGAACGAAATACACAGAAAGACTTTTCTGAATTTAAACTGTGACAGAGACTTGGGCCCTGAAGTTTCTGCATGGTCAGCAATTCGGAGTTTATCAGATTAAGAATAAGGAACAACTAAATGGAGATTACAGCAAACAGAGCTATCTGGGGATGACAATTCTGGAATGAAGTTGCCAGCGGAATTTCCTAGAATCTTGTCAATAAAGAACGAAAATATTCCATATAATTATGACAATTAACGGGTTACAGGAAGCCTATGAACAACTAATGCAATCTGTCCATGAAAACAGAATGTACTAGTGTCTCAGGATAATAATTTCAAATAAAACTGTTACTGACATGGTACAGATCCAGTCTCCGGTTAAAAAAAATAGTATTGTTTATACTCCAGATCGCAGAAAACTAAATTACAGTGTTACTTAGATGTTAAACCCTCCTTTCACTTGGAGTTTTAAAGCTAAGAAGGCATCTTCAGAAGAATCTGGCTGCAATCTGGCACCTATTGAGTAGAAATTAGTTAGGGAAAGCACAGAGGAACACATGTCTACTTCCAAGGCCACCACATAAACTGAAGTTACCTGTGAAGATGGTACCTATTAACATACTGAAATAGAAATAAGAGCAACAAGGGCCTACCCACCGCTTTGTTCTCCTGCTGTGGGCAAGCAACAAGGTAAGCAGTGAGGTTTTGGGGTGGGACCAATTGATTATGCTGACCATTGAGCATCTCTGGATGATCAGCTCAGTAATGGTTGATTGCACAGCAGAAATCTAAATTTAACTTTACATTGACCAGCTGAATATTTGCAGGGTTCCCTGAACTTTCTGACTGGGCTTTCATTGAGTATGAAAGGAGATTGTAATCTCAAGTCACACAGAGCTGCACGTGTTCAGGTACCTAAAAGAAGGTATCTCAAAGTAGAACTAAAACTTACCTCAAATACCAGTTACAGCCATTAATTTAGAGAAAACTAACTCAAATCAAACACTTCCCCCCATGAAGACATTTTATGCGTCAAATTATATTAAATTTATATTATAATTCCCTCACTCAGTGACGGATATACATGTTTCTGTTCAGTTCCATTGTTGAATAGAAAGAGAGAAAATTGCCACTGACCTGCCACTTGCAGTTCAATAAACACATCATGGTACGTGTCATTGAAAGAGACCACACAAGTGTATGATCCTTTGTCAGAGCTCCTGACATTCTTCAAGTGTAGAGACATGTTGCCAGCTCTAAATTCACTGTGGAAGAATTCTGTTCTGCCTTGGTATCTCTCATCTTGTTTCTCCTTTTTATTTTTTCCATCATATGTGCTTACAGTTATTTTTTGAGACTGTTTGTGAAATATCCACTGGACAGAGAATTCCTCAGGAAAGTTATCTGCTGCCACGTGGCAGGGCAGAATGACCCCTTCTCCAATGACTGCAATGACGGAACTACTAGGAGGAGAGCTAAAAAATTGACCTGTGTGAAGATAAAATGGCAGTTATTTCTGTTTGTCTATATCACAATTTTTGTGGCACTACATCAGGCAATCAGTAGAATCAATATCACTGTCAACAGGAGAGGAATCCAGAAGAAAATGAGAAAAATAACATGGCAGTTTACTTGAGTAATGTTCACAATATGTGAGGCCCATGGAGTTTATCCTTCAGTACTCTGAATATTAACTTAAGCGAGTTCATGGCCATTAAGTGATGGCTATTGAGAAATCATAGAAAATGAGTGAACACTGAGAAGTCTGCAGCAGGTGAAATATAGGATGCAGGATCTATCTATCAAAAAAGTAAAGGTGGGATTCAATTGCCCAAATGCAGGTACCTAGTGTCATTTGAAATGTTGTAGGGTCCATAAGATATACCTGTGATGCTGATAGATGTGGCATATGACCTGCAGCAGATCTGTACTCACATGAAGGAACAGCTCTAGGACAGACCAGAATGCAGCAGTGCCTAGAAGGACACTAGACAGTTACATGTTGGCACCTGAATCACATGTACAATGATTTACTCATCTACATTTGAGCTAGATGTCCTAGGTTCCCTTTGCAACGAATGGGGAAAAATGGGCAGCTTCAGAGATCAGCCTTTGTTAAAGGGCCAATGACTCTCTCTTCCAGAACTTTTCTTTGAATGGTGAAGTTGTGGGTTACTATATTGAAGCTAAATGTGTAGACTTCGTATTTCTGAAGACACGAGATGAATCCCACCCACAATATATCTCTTTGAAAGTGAGAAAAAGGGAAACCCAGGACATTTTATAGCAGTCATTCTCATTTGCAGAATGGAAGAGAGGCTTTTTGAAATAACAAAATAAATAGCAACCAATGTGGATTTGCGAAGAATTCATATCACAGTAACTTGACTTTATTCCATGGCAACTTAAAAATCTGCTATGAAACACTGAGGAAATATATCCAGTATCTATCCAGTAACACATAATATTACATCCTGTGCTGTACAGTATTGTGCCTGATGAAGCCTGAAGGGCCCCAGTCTATGCTGATCTTCTATCACATCTGCTAGCTCCATTTAACAGGAAATCTCAGCTACACTGAAGCATTTACAATGGCACTGGGTGTCTGTGGTTAGACACCTGATTACCTCACAAAAAATTGCTTTATGGTCCAGAACTGGGAACCTAAAAACAGATGTGCAGGCTTCCAAATCATCAAGAAGACTAAAAGCAAAACTTCCATCTGAATAAACGGGGAGAGAGTATTGCAACTGCCCTGCCACTTCCAGTTCAATCATTGACTTGACTACATTCCTTTTTCAAGAGAGATCTAGCCAATAGTTGGTTCAGTTCATTCTACAGCAGGCAGCGAGTCTGGTCATTGGGTAGGATAGAGTTCCTTGAACATCCATCTTTGATGCCCTGAGGTACTCTAGACACCGGCTACGTGATGGGTCTGTTCTATTTTGGAACATCAAGAAATAAGAAGACCGTACAGTATCTAAAAGACCAGTGGATGCCAATGCATGAGCAACTGAATCTTATCCTAGATTCTGAGCTTGCGTGAAGACAGCTGCTTCTAGGAAGCTAAATGTTGGCAGCTAAGTCTGCCAGCCAAATCCAAAACCTTGGGCACAATTCAGTTGGCTACACCCAACTGTATAGTCCTGACTTAGCCAGGAACTTGCCAGCTGGCCTCCATTCACCAGTCTAGAGGGTCATACATCTCCTGCAGCTGTATCATGTATTCCAGCCTGTGAAGGTGTCCCAGGTACCTTAACATATATCAGACTGTCCCAGAGTCTTATGTGGTGTTATAATTTGATGGTTTTGTGTCATCCAAGTTAGAAGAAAGATGTGTACTGATTATTTTTGAGTTTTACATTTCTATGAACCTGGGCAGAAATAAGCTGATTTATTAAAATATATCAAAACAACTATCTTTACCTGTAATGAGGCATGATCTGCATTGAAAAATCAGTATGTGGATAGCTGTCAGCCACCCAAAGGGGGAACCCATCAATATCCAGGCTTCCTAATCATCCACAGGACCAAAAGCAAAGCTTCCAGATGCAATTCCTGTGTGACTCCTTCGGTTTCTTCACATGTTCAATGCAAAACAACAAGGGTAATTGCAGAGATAAATTAATGGGGGAAAATAGTAATGAATTTACAGATTCTGTCAAAGGCGAGGAGGATTGCGGGACATCCTTTCTTTCATCATCTCCCTGCCAAATTCACCTACGCAAATGTTGCAAGAGAAATACACCTTCTTTTCTCCTCTATTCAGCTGTCCATTTTTACCTTTGTCTTCCGGAATATTTTTATTACATTCACTGGAGATTTTTTCCTTTCAGTGAACAGTTTAAAGCATTTCATCTTGTCTTTTGATATTAGCAGGATACTGCATTTTTCTTTTCCTTTCTTATAGTGAAAAAAACCCCAAACAACCTCGTAAGTAAATTCCCGGGAGCAATGTCACTACATTGATCTCCCTGTTGACTTACATCAACATTTAAAAGAGAAACTTCTGATGTAACAATCAGCATTTTAAAGAGGTACTTGTAATTTAACAAACTTGAGTCTCCCCAGCTTCCTCCCAAGATCTTTGCTTTTGACTCACTGCTGAACTAATCCATACTCTCAGTAAAGATACGTGACTCAAACTGACTAGTGAGCTGAAAGGGCACAACACAACTTAATTATAGATATAACAGCTCCTGATTTCCTCTGATTTTCTGTGCTTTTTCTCACAATCACTGATAAAAACAAGTGATCTCAGAGGATGGTATTCCCATCTGAAAATGGCAATAATGCATCTACAGCAGGCAGGTTCATTCCTGCCAGTGCAACCGATTAAATCCGTATCAGTTAATTCAAGTATCATAGTAAACACAGCAGCTTTTCTTCATGGATTTAGCAAAAGTGTAATTTCTTACCTGAATAGTAAGAATCTTAAGACTTCTTTATGGGGATATGCTTGTGGTGAACCTTTGTCCTCATATCTTTATTACCACTGAAGCTTGTGATTACATTTTCCACAGCCAATCGGGCTAGAGAGGATATGATTGGGTAGCTGCCAAGATTCATATTGCAAGACCAAAACAACTTCTTGCTTCCTAATTCATCTCTCTGTACTCCCAGTTGGAACAAGGTAGGGATGTTCCTTCTCATCCTCCTGTGCAAAATGTTCTATGTTCTATGTTCAACCAGCATTTCGCCAGAAAACGCTGCAGTAAGACAAGTATGTCGTGAACAACTTCGCAGGGTTTGTTTTTTCTATGACACGGTCAAATGTTGGTAGTTGGTAGTATTGGGAGTTTTTTTTCCATATTGTTCTTTTTATGTCCTGTTGAAGATCAGAAAATGATTTCAATCATCAACTTTGCTCTCATTTTTATCCTTCAGTTTTTTTGACTCCTGGCCATCCTGTGAACAAACATTTAGTGCTCTCAAGAGACTGTTGTCTCTCTTTCTGTAACCAGACTGTACTGAAAATTACTGAAAAAGGGATGTCCCAAAACTTTCATTTGTGCCAGTATAATAGTATGCTTTGGTTTTTTGTTGGTTTTTGTTTGGTTGGTTTTCTGGAGGGGGGAGGTGCCTTCGGGTGTGTTTTCTGGGCTAGCTGAAATGCTGTCTGGGAAAATAAAATAAATAAAATAAAATAAATAAATAAAAATTAAAGTAAAATAAATAAAAAATAAAATATATTAACCTCCTAGGAACCTCCACCAGCACATTTGACACAAAGAGAAACAATGTCCCCATCACTCAAGGTTAAGGTTTGCTCAATACTCAGTTGAGCCTACTTTTAAACACCCTCCAAGATAACTAAAGAAAAGCATTTTTTTTTCTCTTTACACTAGGACGTCTGGTAATGATGCATTTGTGTTAAATCCTGCAGTCACGTGCAAAGGAGACTTCTGCAAGTGCATGAAGCAGTTTTGCAAGATGGCCTTTCCAGAGACAAAACTGAAGAAAACATGGAGGAAATTGCTTGAAAGTGAACCTACTGAATGATGGAGCCTACAATGACATCAAAAATGCAAAATGTGATGCATTCTCATGTGAATCTTGACATTTCCTAGGTGGAGCCATCATTGATGAGGTGAATTCTGCAGGTCCATCTTGCAACCTCATCAGTGATGACCCCGTCTAGAAAATGGGCACATAGAAAGCATCGATCAACTTCCTTAGGGATGAAGGTGGAGGAAGGGTTGTCTCAGATCATCACAGTATCTCAACTGGAGTCCCCATAACATCTGGGTTTGGTGCAAGCAATGCCCAGGAATGCAATATTCTTCCTGGGGGACATTTATAATGACCCAGACCAAAGTCCGTAGACCTTTTAGGCACAGCTTCGTGGTTCTGCTGAATTAGATTCAGCTTTGAAGAAAGTAAGGTGGCAGTATTTTAGGTCTGGCAAATTCTCCTGGTGTACATGACTTGCATTATGAGAAACAAGACGTGAAAGGAAACCTGTTGAACAGACAGGTTTTAGTCACTTCATTTGTAGATCAGAAAAAAAAGAGATATGCTTCAGAAAGATGTAAGGTGGGAATGTCTGGCGTGCCTGCTAGAATTCATTTAGCTGAATAGCAGAGAACAAGGTGAAACTACAATAATGTAAATGCTTCAGTATAATAAGTCATTATAGATTTTTGAGAAAATTACCCAGTTTATTTTGAACTCTACTACTTCTACTGCACTGTCTGTTGTCCTTACAAATCATTGGAAAACAAGCTTAAAAATTTGCAAACAAATGAAGATATCACCACAGAAAACTCACGCCTGGACGTAGGAGGGACAAGTATTGCCAGCAGGTCTGTTCTGCCTAACTAGCATGCGACTTGCTGAGAAGATTTTAACATCACTCATCAGAAGCTATCTGACATAGATAATGAAGTGCTATTTTGGTACTGTCTAACATGAGCCTAATCTAGCAGTGCTTCTGAAAAGATGAGCTGTCTGCTTTTGTAAGACAACTGCGGCTGCACACTGGAGGCATAATTAGCAAATAACCAATCCCTTCAGGTAACGTGGCGGTAAGGCAGAACTTTCTTTTCCACAGCAGATGAGTTACGCTTTAGAAAAAAAAAAAAAAAAGTTACCATTTCCAGCTTTTTTCACAGTACATCCAATGAAAGCAATACCTCTTTCTAAGTTCCCATCTCTCTATTGCATAGAGATGGTGTACATGTAACTTTAGAAACATTTTTGGTGCATTTTTGACAATGTCATGTGTGAGGGAACAAATGCAAACAATCAGAAAACTGCAGGTTATGGTCAAAATTTTGATCATGGGAGCCCACCTCCATGTGTCAAGATTTAGCTTTCCATTAATTTATCAGGATGGTCTTCAATGCCACATCTGCAGAGAGAGGTGCCTGCATTTCCAGAGATAATCTTCAAGTGAAACAAACATTTTCGTGAGATTGTGAAAGACAGTGGAGTTTGAGTTATGATTCATCTCATGATATGATAAACCACCATATTTGATTAAAGGAATCACAGTCCTGGATTCCCCGGGTGCAATTAAGCTGCTGTGACCTTGGCTGTTTGAAGGTGAGGTTTCGGGTCTCAGCTGGATGTTTTTTCTCCCTCTACAGTCAAAGGAGGGACAGGCAGCTCTGCAAGATGACTGATCCAACTTGGGGCCATAAAAACCCCCAGAGTTTTAAACTTAGGTGTGGGCCCATGCCTGCAACACTTTTGTATGCAGAATCTGTCCCACCTTTAAGTGAAGGGGAATTGAGCCCCATCCAGCTGTTCATTAGTCTTTTTTCTCTGTGAAAGGTCTGAGACTTGCAAATCAAGTTATTTTCCTGCTCACTACAGGTCTTAATGTCCTCTCTCTCTAACAAATAAATAAAGCTGGTGTAATTAAATCACAAGGTTTTGCACTTCAAAGACCTAAATTGGGCAGTTTCTAAATTGCTATGCTTTCCTAATTGCTGCCTGCCTTGCATATTCATACTTCTAACTTCAGATCATCCTGGTGGGTAATAGGCTCATGCAACAGCCCATTTTGGTTTCTTTACCTCCCATTCATGCTGTTTTCTCAGTTTTATTTCACTGTTGGAAAGCCATACTTGAAAATGAGTTGCACTGCACAGCTACAAAAGGATTTGAAATATAATCCTCTTGATGTACTTTGGATCTAGGTGTGTAGGCAAATCAAGCCTTTGGATATCTCCTACGATAGGCTGCTGGTATCTGCAGGTATTGGCTGGAATACTGCACCCAAGGGCAAAAAAAATCACTCATGGTGAAAGTTCAGGTTTTAATACCTGTAAGCTTTAGTGAGGAAGTCAGTGAAGTCTACCCCCTCTATAGATATGGAAAAAGAAAGTATGTGTGTTCAGTTAATACAAGCCAAAGGTTATTCACTTCCATAAACCATGCTGAATTTAAAATGGATACCTTGGATCTTGCTATACAGGTAAGAAATTAAAGTCTGGCTGAAACAGAACTGTGCCCTGATTAGCTTTTTGAAGGGGTTCGTATTAGCATTGACCTGGCTGTTTGCAATTTACAGCCCCCAGGGAATAATTCCAGTTTGGAATTAAAAAGGCTTCTTTCTTGCCTTGGATCAGTGGGAAGACGTTACTGTCGCTTGTGGGTGCCATTTTGATGAAGTTGTTAAAGATCTTTTAAGTTTCTTTTTATTTACTTTTTATTTACTGCCTTAATGTAATGAATAAAACAGTCTGCTTGCTTAAGAGTGGATAATGCCCAAATCTGATCTATGACTTTGGGTTTAAACCAGATGCTACCTGCTAGCAGCCTTTATTAAAGAGACTAGTCACTGAAATGGGAAGTGTTCTTTGCTAGGTTGCTCAAAACAGATAGTTTGCTGAAACCAGTGTGGTGGATTGGGTTGGTTTGAGAACTGCAATGTGCTGATTCTGAAACATATTTCCACTTGTTAAAGCAAATTTCTTTGCTTTTTTCTTGTCAGGATATAGACTCATTATGTGTTTGTCTGGCAGGTATATGCCAATATGACTTATATATACCACGACTTAGATAATATTAATTAATGAAGTATAACTCAGGTATAAATTTATTCTGAAGATAATCAATATAAAGGATACAGATTTTTACATTCCTGTATGTGCAAGTAATAAATCTTTGCTAGATTTTCCAGATGATGCATGCTGCAAATCTGTGGTGTTTATTTGTCTTTCCTTTTTTAAAAATAATATTTGGTCTCTGCCTGAGATCCTTAAGCTTTATTTGGAGGAGGGTAAAAGAGAAATGAATCCAAAGCAAGACAGACTTGCTTTTTAGCAAGACAGACAACTCTGTAGATTTCCTGCAGTTTTTAATCCTTTTTTGTCCTCCTTCATTCACTCTAGATCTTGGAAAGGTAACCTTTGCATTCAGGAGAATAGTTAATCATTCAACAGGAAGAGCAATGAATGAGTGCAGATTGCGAGAAGGGGCTTGGCCGTTGGCAGTCAAAATCCTTTGCTTCCTTTTTCACTCCTTTCTGCTTCATGCTTCTCCTTTGTTAGGAAAGCAAAGGTGCTCGTGGGTTAGCCGGAAAGCTAAGGTGAGCATGGCTTAGCCTTCACAAGGAAGTGAGCTCCGAGTGTGTTCTGCAGACCTTGTGTGTGAACAGAAGTGCTTCTGGGCTCGAAGGAACCCAGTCCCTTCGCATGCTGCCTTTGGTGTTACAAGTAGTCTGGGTTGGTCTAATTTTTTTCAGAGTTCACATAAAAAGCTCTGTGTGGAAAAAAGTACTAACATTTTATACTTAAAAAAAACCCCTATTGAAACATTGGATGAGATTCTGTGCATCTAAATTTAGAACCCTAGAAGCAAGCATTTTATTCAAAACACAAATGATATAGAAATTATTTTTTTTTTTGTATTCTGGCATTTTTGAAGGTTCTTTCTAGAAATCCTAGCTTCTTCCTCCAACTAACTATGACAACAGAAGTCTTGACCAAGCAAGTACAAGTAAGAGAAACAACATACGGAGTTTCAGTGCACAGTAGGTGCTGTCTAGCAGGACTTGGAAATGAATAAGCTTTTTATAGACTTCTGTCTGCATTATGGTCTCACTTGCCTGAAGTCAGATACATCCTATTGGGTTTAGATTTAGCCTCATGTCATCTAGAAAATTGTTGCTATCCTGGCTAGAAGTTTCCTGAACACTGAGTGTCTCAGGGACACTTGGGTACCAGGCCAGTGAAGTGCCCTTAAGATCCAATATAGTGTTCTTCTAAGTGTCTCAAAAATACCTCTCTTTTCTCTGGTGGCAAAGTATAAGTCTTAGAATCACAACTTAATTGACTGAATTCCATTAAAAACAGCTTATTCCGTCATTTCCTAATACTGGTCAAAGGTACCTAAACACTTCTGAGGATTTGTCCATGTGTCGCTTCATACACAGTGATATATAGGGAAAAGTATGGCTCTAGATTGATGCACTCTTCTCATTTTCTGTTCTGTGCTTGAAAAGATTACAGGAATCTTGTAAGACTTGCCGTGAAAATTTTTCTTATTGATGTCTTACAAAACTGCAAGGCGATGGGTTCCAGATATCAGCAGGCAACAACTCTTCACATCATTATTTTCCTACAGATAATTCATTCGGTCACAGGTAAATCCATGTTCCGTTCTAATCACAATTTAATTTAAAAAGACGTCTAATTTCCAGAGTCAGTGGGTAGAAAGTTTGGGATTTTTTTGGCAATGCATTTTATTTGCAACATATTTGTAGCAATACCTTTATATACATATATATATATATGTATATACGTCAGACACGCACCGTTCCCTCCACTCATTTTCTGAAGCCAGGACAAAACAATTGTGTTACATGAAATCTTAATACATTTGAATCATGCAGATAGCACAAGACCTAGGCAATAATAAAGACTCATTTAAATCTTCAACATCGGATTATAAATAGAATCACAGCTTTCCCCCCGTGACTTTTTCAGGGAGATTTCTTTCTCTGTTTTGGAGTAATCTTTCAGCTTGGCTGACCCTGTCACTTTATCATGCTGAGAAAGCCGAGGCTCCTTTTTGTATCATCTCCCACTTTAGAGTAGTGAACTGAATGGGACAGTAATCTCTGTAAAGGGCCATTACTGTTTTTTGCTGTTAAACCTCAACACCAGGCTTGTCCATTTTCACTAACAATCATTTTGCAAGCCTGTGTTTGAAATGAAATGAACTTACTGTGGTGTGTTTCATCACGGAATACAGCCATCCTAGTGAAAACATTATGGACATCTGAAATCAGGTCATCAAAATCCTGCCTTTGTGAGTTCTGGCTTTACAAAATAAGCAAGTCTTTCTGCATGAGAGATGTGCCATTTCTGCCTCTGAACCAGTCTACAGGCTGAGCTCAGTATTTTCAGCAGCATCTCCCTGAAGTTACACCATGCTCTTAGGATAAGTGGTAGTGGTGAAGGATGGCAGAGGATGGCAGAGGATGGCAGAGGATGGCAGAGGATGGCAGGAGCCTACAAAACTGTACTTATCTATGCTCCTATGGAGAGCAGAGCTGTATTCTGATTACTGTTGGAAGATGACTTGCTTTCCAATCCACTTGTCCCCTCAGTCTATGCCTGGTAAACCAGCCTTTACAGTGGGAGATTACGGAACTTGCTCTTGAGAGAACATCCTGGTCCAGAGCATTTTCTGATTTATTGATTTACACCACAGCAGAATAGCCCCTTTTTCTTACATTCACATACCTGTATGGATTCCAGTTTCCTATAGGAAGTGCTAATGAGAACATTTGTGACAGTACAGCTCTGGAGTCCTCAGTACAGGAAAGACATAGACCTCTTCAGGGGGGTCCAGAGGAGGCCATGAAAATGGAGCCCAGCAAGAGGGATGGAGCACATCTCCTATGAGGACAGGCTGAGAGAGCTGGGGTTGTTCAGCCTGGAAAAGAGAAGGCTCCGGGGAGTACCTTCTTTCAGTACTTAAAGGGGGCTTATAGGAAAGACAGGGACAGATATTTTAGCAGGGCTTGTTGCAATAGGACAAGGGGTAATGGTTTTAAACTGAAAGAGGGAAAATTCAGACTAGACAGAAGGAAGAAATTGTTTACACTGAGGGTGGTGGAACACTGGCTGAGGTTGCCCAGAGAGGTGGTGGATGCCCCATCCCTGGAAACATTCAAGGTCAGGTTGGATGAGGCTCTGAGCAACCTGATCTAGCTGAAGATGTCCCTGCTCACTGTTGGACTAGATGACCTCTAAAGTTCCCTTCCCCCAAAAACTATTTGATTATTCTATGGTTCTATTATTCTATGACAGGTAAGATTTACATCTATATTTTCTTGCAGGCCAATATAAAATCATTCCTCCTGACAAGCCTGTCACTGGAGTCATTGGAAAAGGAGTCATCCTGCCCTGTCAGCTGAAAGTTAAGATAATCCCTGAGAGACTTTCTGTTCAGTGGATATTTATTGGAAACTCCAAAAATATTGATGTGACCACTTATGATGGAAAAAACATATACAATCCGGTTCATGAGTATGAGACATACAAGGGCAGGACAAATTTTTTTCGGTCTGAATTTAGTAAGGGAAACGTGTCTCTTCACCTGAAAAATGTCATGCTTTCGGACAAAGGGAAATACACCTGCAGTGTCTTTTTTGAGAATTGGTATGATGAAGTGGTGGTTGACCTGGATGTGGCAGGTAAGTGGAAGGGCAGGCATTTGCTACTTCTCCCTCAGTCCAGTTGTAAAACATCAGAAAGGTCTACAAGGTACCAGTGGGTTGGATTAATCTCACTTGCTTTTAGCCATGTGAAAGACAAGCCTCCGCTACAGCTTAGGCTACTTCTATTGCCAGAAGACTACGAATAGTCATAGATGCCTTTTTACTGTATCCTACACAGAGGGAGCGTAGGCAACACGTTAGCTTTAAAACGTTTAAAGGTAGGAGAGAGATGAATCCTATGATAAAGCAAGCCTGTTTTTGCAGAGGTGAAGCAACTGAAGCCTGACTAAAACTACATTTGGTACTGCAACCTGTTTCTCATGCTCTTGCCTTACACATCACCTCATTTTCTGTCCAGTATTCCAATTTTCATATATTGATAGCATCGTCCAACTTTGTTTTACTTACCAATTTCCTGGCTTACAGATAGAGCTCAGAGGGTTGTGGTTAGTGGTGCAGATTCTAGTTGGAGTGGTGTCCCTCAGGGGTCAGTACTGGGCCCAGTCTTGTTCAACATATTCATTGATGATCTGGATGAAGGGATAGAGTGTACCATCAGCAAGTTTGCTGATGACACAAAACTGGGAGGAGTGGCTGACACGCCACAAGGCTGTGCTGCCATACAGCGAGACCTGGACAGGCTGGAGAGTTGGGCAGAGAGAAACCTGATGAAGTTCAACAAGGGTAAGTGTAGGGTGCTGCATCTGGGGAGGAATAACCCCATGCACCAGTACAGGTTGGGGGCTGACCACCTGGAGAGCAGCTCTGTAGAGAGGGACCTGGGAGTGCTGGTGGACAACAGGATGACCATGAGCCAGCAATGTGCCCTGGCGGCTGAGAAGGCCAATGGCATCCTGGGGTGCATCAAGAAGAGTGTGGCCAGCAGGTCGAGGGAGGTCAGCCGCGCCCTCTACTCTGCCCTGGTGAGGCCGCGTCTGGAGTACTGCATCCAGTTCTGGGCTCCCCAGTTCAAGAAAGACAGGGAACTGCTGGAGAGGGTCCAGCAAAGGGCAACGAAGATGATTAGGGGATTGGAACATCTCTC